TATACTGATATAACTAAGTTATCTTCCCTAGATGAGGCCTATTTTAGCTTAAATGATTCCATGATTCTATTCACTTAGGGAAAGTAGAACCATATCTGCCTCCAAATGAATGTAAACCAAAGCAGAGAGATAAACAGCACAGTAGAATATTATTCCCTCTCTTTGATTTATGGCATATATTCTAAAAGATGCAGTTCCTTGCAGACATTAAGTGCCAATGTTCTCTTTACTATTTTTTTTATCCAATAATGTAATTTTGCAGTAATCCTTTGATCAAACTAGTGCATACACAAAGTATGCACTTTATATTTCCATCAGTAAATTTTCTGTGAGCTGTAATCCTCTCATGTGTGTATATATGTATATATATATATATAAAAAATACAGCACAACATTCTCTAGGAAATGTACTCTTTAATTGGGGCGGGGAAAAGCACACGGGTGATTAGATGCTTTTCTTATTCCTCAGAGTTTAGGAAAAGGGTCTATATTCTTCATTTCCTGAGGTTACATTCAGCAAATTTTACTGGGGTAGAGAAGAGTTGGTAAATAAGCTTTGGGAAGAGTGTGATCTGATGAGCTGTTTATTCTGGACATGCTGTAACTTAAACAGTGGTTTCAAAATTTTGTTTTGTTCATTTGTAGACAAGAAAACTATTGAGGCTTTTAAATGAAAACATTGGTTTTTTTTTAAAGAAAATAGAAGTTTGCTGAGAGTGTACTTTCTTTTTCACCCTTCACATAAAATAGGTTTTCATGGGTCAAACTTAAGAAAATCCATTGGGTTAATTCCTTTAGGGACTCCTTGTTACCAAATGCAGGCTCAGCTGTATTTTAACAAGGACTTTTCTCCCCATTCAAACCTCTGAACAAGGACCTCCAAGGAATGGGCAGAAGTGAACATTGAAAAGCTACTATGCCCCAATTGGCAGCTCCTCTCCTTGATAGTCATGAGAATTTTCAGCCTTTGGACCACTAAATCCACTTCCATTTCCAAGGTTAAAAGAGGACCAGAAAAGCATCAAGGGAACTTCCTCATCAGTACAGATTTGCACTTTATTTCAGTGTGTGACTGGAACTTGTGTAGACATATATCTGAAGTTGACTTACATAAACTATTTTTATACTTCTGGCAGTGTGGCTGTGGGGCTGCAAAACCCTTCTGAGAACTGAGGAACCATTTGGGTGATTTACCCAAGCTGACGTCCTCTTGGTGATATTTATACCAAATGAAGCCTGAGGTCAGATCAACACCTGCTAGCACAGTATTCTCTCTCTGAAACCGGTCAAGAGGGAAAAGTTCAGGAACAAGATAAGCACAGGAAGTTACTTTACCACAATACTCAACCACTTTCAGCAGTTTCTTTTTTAGAGGCCTCTTAAATCAGAAGTGATTTTAGTGGATCCCCACCATGAATTTTTCTGGTCTCTTATTCAACTCAGGTCAAGTTCTGACATCTAGCACATCCCATGTCAATGAGTTGTATAGTTTCTCTATGTAGTGTAAGGAAGATTACTTCATCTTACTGACTTGGCATTTATTTTCCTAAAATTTAACTTTGTCTCCTGCTCTTACATGAGAAACATATGAGTGAAGAATTATTTCTTATTTTCATTGCTTAGTCATGATTCTGGGCTCTCTAAAAAAACCTTTTGACCATCTTGTCATCTTTCTTTCAAGATGAAAAGTTTTCACTTATTTAGTAATTCCTACTATGGAAATATTTCCATTCCTTGCTACCTTTTTATATTCCTTTTGCTCCCTTGTTATCTGAGTGCTCAGATACCTTAAGGACCTATGTAAATTAAAAGTGTGGAGTTCTTGTGGTTCTTGTAAAGCTCCTGCTTCTGCAGCTGATGCTGTTGTTAAATAGTCAAGTTAATAATTTTACAGTCAATTTAGGAATTTATATTTTAGCTTCAGTCCCCTGTTGGCATTTTAACAGAAAAAGCACTCTGTAAGTTATACTCCCAGAACCACTAATGAGGTGAAAGTCAAGCATAAACTAGTAGTTCAACAGAGGAAGGATAGAGAGAAGAAAAATATTTTATTATGTCAGAATATGTGGTTTTGTGTGTTTGTTTATACAAAAATAGAAATGCAGGTGTTGTTAAACATGGCAATGCACAATACATTTCCTGTTGGATAGCTTTGAAGAAATGAAGATTCTTTTGCAGCAGATGGCTGCTGAATGAGTCTACTGGCTCAACTTAGGTCATTCTGATGATAATGTCTTCCTCTTTAGATCTTGAACTATCAGGTGCTACAGGTTTAATCCTAACACTGCTAATCAAAACAGATTGTGTTTTTCTCTGGAATCCCACTTTGGGTTCCCGAATTAAATAAATTGTCTGTATCAGAGAAGGAAACAGTGTGAACAAAATAGTCAGTTTCCATTGTCTCAGTGCACTGCTGGAAGCAGCTTGCTGATTATAGCAGGGGGAAATGTTTATTGCTGATCAGCTTACTCTATATGGGGAGCTCTTATAATAAAATGAAGTATAAAATCAAGGTATAGAAGCATCATAGCTCAACTAGCCAAAAGAAGAAAATATTTTAAAGCTTTTTATTGATGCCAAGCTGATGTTTATGCCATTCACAATTTAGAACTAAACCAAAGGTGCACAGACTCATCTGTCTTTGCTAATCAGAACTTTGATTCATTTTCTTTGGAAACTTCATTGCAGACAGCAATTTCATTTTATGAGAATGTTGAATGTCTCCATAAACCAGCATTTTTCAAACTGTAATTCAATGGTTGTTGCATAGAAATGCAAAAACCATGATCAGAATCAATGGCCTCTTGTAAAATGTTGCCTCAGGTTAGCTGTCAACTAAATTGAATACCCTTGTTAGCTATATTCATCTTTGTAACAACTTTTTTTTTATTGTCACATGTATTTTTTTCAGGGATGATCCTATGCATTTAATTAGAGATCTGTTTAAAACTTAGAAAATCATTGCAAAGCAAATTTGTCAGACACTTTGGATTCCACCTAATTCTGGACCTCTTTGATGAATCAGCACTGTTTGTCTGTCAGGCTACACTCTCTAGTAAATATTTGGTACCCTGCTGTCTGGACTCAATACAATCTAGTTCATGAAACATCCTTCAGGAACCAATAGACAAGACACTGCATCAGGATGTTTCTTACTCCATTTCAAGTGATTTCATTTGACTACAATAAAAAATAAACAAACCAAAGAAATAAACCCAACCAAAGAAAAAACCCAATAACCCACAAAACCCTCCACAAAGGCTAAAAGACCCTACAGTCATTTATCTGTAATGCGGCTTTTCATTTTTATGCAGAAGCTGCCACTGTTTTGTGCTACATAAAAAAAAATAGGATTTTTGTTTGAGATTCTTGGAAATTGTATTTTGAATTCATATGAAATTCTTAATAGAATAAAATTTTCAGTCTATTTTATTATTGTAGAAACTTGCAGTGCTCTTAAATCAATGCAGACTGTTCCTTTTTAACAACAGAGTTTCTGACCCAATGCAAAAGAAAAGTTAAAGCCCTTACACTGCAATATGTTTATTATAGGTGAGGAATATGTGGAATATTTTGCTGGGAACCACGCATGCATGGGTTAAACTGGACATATATCTGAAAATAGTTATTTATATATTTTTTTACCTTTTGACTGATAATCTGTAGACATTTTTTTATGTATTGACATAGGGCAGGATTGTAGAGTGTGCTGTGATATGCTTTGATGACATGAAAATGTGTCTTCACCAGTCAGACCCAATTGAGCCAGCTGCTGCCCTGAATCATGAGTTGTACGCAGTAAAGACACAAGAGAGAAAGGTTTTGGCACAAGGGCATATTGCAGAGGTAATCACTAGGAACCAAACCACTGGAATAAAGGATTTGACAATGGGTAATTGCCACAGTGGAGAATGAAGAAAAGGGAGTTATGCTGGAATGAAGGATGTGGGAATGGCAGTCAGTGGAAAGATAGAGGAAGTGACACATTTTTGGGAAGACATGGGCAGTGCTGCCCAAGCTCCCTGTCCCCTTTTCAGCTCTGCCTTTCCATTGCTCACTGGCAACAGGGAAGAGCAGTGGCAGTGGAAAGCTCTTCAGGTGTGGCTCCTGCTGGTGTTTTTCCCTAGCAATTAACCAAGAAGGAGAACCCAAAGGAAGGAGGACATGTAGCTGCAAAGGAGGGAAAGGGTGCAGCACAGCCCTTTTTTGTCCCATGTCTCTGCTGAGCTCTGTCTGTGCACCCACTCTGGGGACTGGTGCTGCATAACCTCTATTGCTAAGAAATGTGCATAAGAACATGGTTATCATTTCAGCATTCACTGGTTTATTGCAACTTTCCCAAATAACCATCAGCAGTGAGCAAAGTTAATAAAAAATATAATGTTGATTACATTGCCTGTACTTAAATTTTATCACATTTGTGTTGAGAAAGAGAAGTTAATTTCCTAAATTATTCTGAGAGAGATTGCATAGTCATAGAGCCAAAGAAAATGTATTAACTTTCCATCTCCCTAAATATCTCTACACTTGCCTTTACATTTCTTTAAAACACCATTGTACTCACATTGCTGAAATCTGCTTTTGAAGGTGCAACTTTGTTAACAGATTTGAAAGATTCTGCTGCACCCATTTTTCTCATTAGAAAACTTGAAGGATTTTTTTTTTTCTGTATATGTGACTGGTAATCTTCATAGTTTTATACTGACTACTCAAAGCAATGTAGCAATTAAAGCATAGTTTACTTAACAAAAGTTCAGGTATATTGAGTAGTGAAACACACTAGTAACTAAAATTAGGCATATTTATTGTCTCTGTTATTATTAATTTTAAAAATTTCTCATTGAAATTCTGTTGTTCGATAGCATTATAGTAAAATCAAAGTGATAATGCAGTAGGCATGTGTGATATTTTATATAATCATAGGAAAATCAATTGAACTAAATGTTCTCCTTGTCTTCATGGTGTCTTCATGGATTTATGTTTCTGCATCTCATTCCCAGGTTTGGAGATGGTTATTCTGTCAAGGTTTGGCTTAGCAAAGAAATAAGTTATGGAAGAATGATTTTGGACGGTCTACAACTGCATTTCCCTGGAACACAGTTTAAGGTACAAATAAAACTCGTTGTTATATGTATATGGCAGGATTAATTTGGGACTGGTAAGAATAGTATGTACATGTTTGTTGCAGTCCACAACCGCAGGATCATGTCCAGGGAAGCTGCAGGGTTCTGGGGACCAGCATACAATACCAACGAGACGGGCTCCCAGTTCATGAAACCATTTATTCAGCATGGGAACAAACTCACATCCAGAACAAAGAGCCTCAAACAGAGGCCGAGCAGGGGTTTTTGAGGGACAGAACTCTTGAGGGTCTTCACCTTTGAGGGTGGAGTTCAGGGTCAGGGACCACTAGAAACACAGCAAGGGAGAAACCCCCCAGGGACTCAAATGCAATCAGAACTCCTGGGCCAACCTCCACAAGGGGTTTGGGGTGGGACAACTCCACCCAGGGCTCACATACCCATCCCCCAACACAGGGGGTCAAAACCCACACACATGGCCCACAGCCATGCCTCTCCTTTCACAGTGTGTATCTGAAACTAACTCTTGGCCTCCCTGAGGCACGTCACAACATATGTTTGTATGTTTACATGTTTGGATATATTGATCTTCTTGGAAAAAGTACGTATGAATACCCCTTTTGTTTTTCTATTAAGCAATTCATAAAAATTGTACTTATGATGTTGGTTGAATCAACTCCAAACAGCCATTTAGGCAATGTAAATAGAAAGGCCTTTTCTCTGACTGAAAATTTCCTTTTTCTTTTATTACTGATGAAGTTGAACTCAAATCTGTGTTCACCTGAAATAGGACTACAATATAGTTACTATGAGTATTTTGCTTTGTTTGCTTTCTGATAAAGGCTCAGAGTTGATAAGCCAGCCTTTTCTGAGATTCTTTAATACAAAGCCTTATAAAAGACCTATAGTAATTATATTTCAATAAAAACTCTCCAAGGCTTTTACTTTAACTGTGTTTAGGAAAAGAACCATGGAAAGTAATGTCTATCTTAGGTATGAGCTTCTTTGTGTGTATAAGTCTGTATTGAGGTCAGACAGCTGTGTATCTGTGTATGCTCAGCCTTTTCCCAGACTGCACTGTAACAGCACTAGTCTGTTAAATTAAAATTTCCCTGAAGTTTTGTATCTTTTATGAGATTAATAAGCTGTCACCTCAGAATACACACAAAATCTGTGCTCTCAGTATGAACTGCTCTTTGTGCTATGAATATAGACAAAATATGTTCTATTTTAAAAGCTCCTATTTTCCATATTAATCTGCAATAAGAGTGTGTTCAAGTTAGACTGATTATAAGGAGGTGTAGCTTCATCACAAAGTACATTCACTTTTATCTGTTTTTATAATTTTTGCTTTTTTTCAGGGACAACATCTTAACCTGCTCGAATACCATGTACCAAGAAGTCAGGGATGTTTAGCAGAGCTATTCAGAGTCCTAGAGAATCACAAAGCTTTTCTCCAAACCAAACACTACTCCATTAGCCAATCCACGTTAGAGCAGGTATTTTATAATTTTTGTTTCTTTTCTTCTTTTTGTCTAAATGTGCTGTGTATTGTAGTTATTGATGTAGTAGAATATTCTATCATTTGCTGGGTTATGTGAATGTGTGCAATACTCAGCAGTTCCAGGCCATCTCAGGTTACACAGTGTTTCCATGTCCCATGCTGCTTTTACACTGGAGGTGAGCATAGTAAAAGCAACACATCAAGCCACGTAGTTGTAGTGTGCACAAACATAATTTGTGCTTAGATGAATCTGGAGCTTTGCGAGATGACAAAGTGGGGCTGTGAACCGCCACCTTCACAATCCAAAAGCTGGGATCTTACTAATGTCCTTGAAAAGGCTGAACTGCTCTCTTTAACTCATAGCAAACCTTAGACATTCAGAACTTTTTCCAGTGAGAATTTTAAATGCACAAACAGATGAAAGAGATCTGACTGCTAAAGACTGTGAGATCCCATTGTGAGGAAAAGAAGAACACATTGATAGCAAGCATGGGATTTCTGGGTGATTGTGATGCGTTACAGCATCTTCATATGCAGCTACTTGTTATTCATTCTGCAAGCTGAGAGGCACATCTAGTCAAAATATTAATTTTCTATGATTGATGGTGTGACTTGGTTTCTTTTTCCCATATGCAAATCATTATAGAAGTATTATTCTCTGTGCTGGTCTACTAACTATTTGTAAATGATCTATTCAGTGATTGACTGCATTTAAGATAATTTCATCCTATTTCTTCAGGCATTCTTCACTCAGGTTTACTTCCTCTCCATTTTTCATGGTGATGCATCATCACCTCAGTCACCTGCTGCTGCTTCCTCTCCTTGACTGAGTGTCAGTTTTAAACAGGAAAATAGCTCTTCACAGTAACAAACACACTTATAATGCACCCCAAGTTTCTTTGTATATGAAGAGGATCATCTGAATAAAGGAGAGCCATTTTTCCCTCTACACGCATTGCTGTGAAATAGTTGTGTGATTAAAAATGAAAGAAGCCTTTACGTAGTAAGATCAGTGTTTAAAAAAAACCAAACCAATTCAAGGAGGCATATTAGTTGTTGAATCAGAAGTGTGCTTTCACCTTGAAATATTTGTATCCTAATCTGTAATATTTATTGGCAGAAACAACCACCTCAGATTTTTTAGGTACGTCATTCAAAGACAATTAAAACCATTGTTTCACATTGACTTGTGCATAAAATGTATTCTTCATATCTCAGTAACTCATTTTACCATAATTTTTATCATTTATCAACCCCTGTCTTAGCCGGAGTGGGGAAAAGGGATTATTTCTAGAGTTTATAAGACATGTTTTTAGAGGGGTTCCCTCAACATGAGTTATTAATTATTTTGTCAAAAAAACTAAGAAGAGCAGCTAAAAAATACCATCACCTATATCCCCAAAGTCTGAATTCAAGCACTTTTGTTCTGAAAATCCTACTTTTATCATGTCTTATAGGTATTCATTAACTTTGCAACACAGCAACAAGGAGCCTGGCGTTCTTCACAAGGATCTTCTGTTGTCCACCATGATCGTTTCCCAGTCTAGGCTCAGAACAGGATACAGCTTCAACATAACATATATGTGTGTGTGTGTTTGCATATATGTACACACAAGCTACATGCAATAACTTTTCAACTGTGAACAATTTCTATACAAGAAACAAATAGTAGAAACAGAGTCGAGTTTTCATCTGTAGGCCAGAAGGAAGGGTACTAGTTCTTGGTTAAGCAAAAAACTGATTATATGCAGACCAAAAATCTGCCAAAAAGTAACTTTTTCTTAATTTAACTGGAATTTTATAATACAAATGGCCTAATTAATGGAGAGAAAAAAAAGGCTGATCTGCCTGTGCATAGTAGATTTTTTTTTTTTGTGGTATCTCTGCATTCATTTGACTATAATACTTCCTTGCATGCACACTTAATATCTAATTTTTACCTGATAAGACAAGAAAAAGAAAAAACAATTGAATGGTAGCAATCACCCAGTATTTTTATTTTTATTTAATCGCACAAATTGAGAACCTTTTGATTTCTCTGTTAATTCAGTTCTGTGTTGTGACAAGCTAAATTAACCTTTTCATTGTATAAAGGATGCACTGTATTCCATAAGGCTTTATGTTAAAGAGGTTATTAGTGTACTAGCCTAGTCAGCCTCCCAGTTATCTTAAGTGAATTTAACAAGTTTTCATAAATCATACTTGACAATGAGCTTTCCCCTAAGCCTGTGGGTTGCTGCTGGAAGTATTCTCAAGTACCTTTTTAATGACCTAGTTTGTTTTTCTCATCTTTTTGTTTCCTTTTTCTTCAAAGAGAATTTCAAAATGTTGTTTAACGGGAATGTTAAAGGAAAATAAAATAAACATTCGGACCATGATCAATAAACTTCTAAGTAAATATATTATGATGTTAGATACTTCAGACAAGGCCACAGTCTTCAGCCTATACTTGTGCAAAATAAGTGATATTTAATGAATAAAAACTCTTTGTATATTGTGCTTGGAGAAAACAAGTATGAAATTTTTTGTGTCATAAGTGGCTGCCTCATCTTAAACAAGTCTTTGATGCTCCTGTGAAATTAGCTCATATCACTTTTATTGACTACAGTGTCAAATAGCTGAAATTGTAGAACCAGTGACTTAGAAGTTAATTGCTTCAATATGATTTTGGGTGGGCAGTGGCCAGAGAAGTTCACTTTGAGATGGAAGAATTTGATTTTAAATGGCCCGTATTGCAAAGCTGCTGCTATAATTCCCTGCTGTACAATGATATTAAAAAAAAAAAAAAAAAAAAATTGTGTTTTAGGCTTTGCAAACTGACTCAGGAGACTGTTTATTAAGGCTTGATTTGTTCATGTTGCTTTGGCCCATTATGCTTTTTTAAAATCAGGAATTCACTTTGCCTATTTCTAAAAAGATTAAATTAAGTCTTTGAAAAATAAATAAAACCCTAAAGATTTATAGGCTTTTGTCTGCATGTACATATGGGTCAAAATGAGTGAGCTTATGAAAGTGCTTTATTATTAGAATGGATTGGTATAATTTGAGAACTCTGCCAAGCTACTCAGGACCCAAAGAACCTAGGAACCATTAAACCCCAACAGCAACCACCCTAGTAGAAATGCCATAGCACAATGGGATGCCTACATTTGATGTGAATACAGTTATTTTTGATTTCTTCATGAGGCTGGGAGTGGAAGGTTTCTAAGGTCCCCAATTAAAGCAAAAACCAGTCAATTTTACAAAGCAGAGTGTGAGAGAAGTGGTGAACATGAAAGAAAAAACAAGGCAGGTGCAGGAAATCTGGGCAGAAACAGAAATATGCTGACACTGAAATAGCCTCATTTCAGCACCTCAGGATGGAAGAAACTGAGCATTCAAGGAATAGCCAAGGATCTCTGAGTCATAGTCTGAAACCACTCAACAGAAGAACATTTCTGTAGCTATTAACTAAAAAAGTACAAGGGAAGGTATAGCAGTCATGTGCACAGGACTTTTGGTTTTTTCTTTTATTTTTATTGGTATGTCTAGACCTGTAGATTACTGATGTTATGACTGATTGATATTATCTGGTTTTTGTTTTGTTTTTATAAACTAATATCTCTGTCTCAACCACCTCAAGTCCTTTAAAAATGATGAAATGTACTCAAGGAAATTTAGGGATTTGGGAAAGGAGACTGTTCCAGTCCTTGCAGTGTAAGGCAGTTGAGCTAAAAGATGTGATTTGTATGAAATTGTAGAAGGAGTGGTTATTCCTTCTGAGGGAGGGTGTCAGGGACTTGAATTAATAAAATAATCCTGCAGTTTGCTTTGACCAAGGGAAGCATAAAAGCAAGCAAGACTCGCTGTGGTGAGACTGAAAAATGATAGCCTAGCTGAATGCACAGATAGGGGAGCTTCTTCAAGTCTTGGCTATGTAACACTAATTAAATGTCACTTTTTTCTGATTAAAATATGAAATATTATATTAGTTTAATAGACGAATACATTAAATAAGATTTGCTTCAGATTGATGGTTGAGTAAATTCAGCTAATAGTGTTTTTAGTTTTTTAAATTACTTCATATGCATCTCAGGAGACCAAATTTAGTTCAGGCAAGTAGCAAACAATGTCTGTCTACCAATCCTTTATGGGTAAAAAAGGTCAAAATCTAATTGAGTGCTCATGTACCTAGTTCTGTCTCAGAGGATATTCTCCCTTTCTTTAACTTGTGGCATTCCTAATGTATGTGAGTTTCAACAGAAGTATTTTGAAGATTTTTGTTTCATTCATTACTTATCAAAATAAATCACTAAACTAGGAGTCTGGACAGAAAAGGTCAATTGTACACTAATGATGAAAGAATCCTTGAATTCATAATTCATGAAAAAATATCTCTTAACACCTCTAGATTTGGAATCAAACACAGCTGAGGATTTTAAACAATACTTTTCTTGTGTGATTCTTGTTAGGAAAGTTTCCTTTTATTTCAGCTGGAAACTTCTCTATGACAGTAAGCCCTTCACCCTGAACGAGAAACTAGAATTAAGCTCAAAATTATCAAATCAATTGAATATCTGAAATACTCAACACTAAAACTGGGAAGATGGTAGCTGTGGGAAACATAAAAATGGAAACTCTTACTGACCCAGAGGATTTGATTTACAGTCGTGTGTGTACATGATCTATCAGTTTATTGGCTGAAAGACAGATGCAGTGTGGCAAAATTAGGCAAAGGGGATAGGTTATTAAGTAGAAACAAGTTTACTTGTTAACTGTCTATTGGACCAAAATTTATATATTGCTGTGTGAAGAAGAAACCCATGACTACATTCAGCTGTGGCTGACTTGTTGCTTCTCTCCAAATCTCAAGCTTTCAAGACTGGTATCTTACCTGGCTTTCTTAAACAATAAATCATCTTAAATAGCACAGTGGTCCCAACCCTCATTTTTCATCTCGACAGACAGCCATACTTTTAAGGGACCATTCCACAGCCTAGGTCAAAAGAAGGGCTTTGGCCAACCTTTGAGCAGATTGTTTCAGGTCCTCTTTTAATTTTCCTACAGTAATAGAATTATGTGACCAAAAAAACAGTAGGTCTGGACTTTAAATCAAAGTATCACACATTCAGTGGGGGTGGAAAGGTGACAGTATTAGTGGACAGGATGACAAAACTCACAAATTGCCACTTTAAATATGGCTGCATATTAAATGTCTGTACAGATTTTTTCTTCTGGAAAGAAAGTATTTATTCCTCTCGTTTGGTTCAATCATGACCACAGATGATAAAATTTTGTCCAGGGTAGTGCAAGATGTATAATATGATTTTCAGCAGAGGAACTGTGTGCCTTTTGAGCTTGCTTGTCCTTGTGAAATTTGAGTCACTGGGGTCTGAATTCACATAAATTTGGAAACTGACTCAAACTCTTACTGGAGCTGTCCAACACTTTGTAGTCTAAAATCAGTTCAGGAAAGGATATTGCTTTCCTGGTCTTTTCCTAGTACGGAGTAAAGGTGACACCTTCTTTGATTCAGTTTAATATGATCTAATCTTTTTATGTCAGCACTTTAAATATTTCTTTCTTAACAATAGAGAAATCAAAGCTAGCAGCAAAAATATCTTACTTGCAGTGATTGAGAGCTGACTAGCTCAGACCTACAGCAGCTAAAGAGAAAATTTTTCCTGAATTGTGTATTAGATCCTTACACTACAAGTAGAACTGATGCTGTTGCAGGTGTGATGGGGTTGGGCAGCAGGTACAGAGCAGAAATCACAGCTATCTCATTCTTGCACAGAAAGCAGCCATCTGCTGCTATCAGTGGGACAGGTACTGCTGAATTTTTCAGTAGATGAATCCTCCATGCTGAATAATTATATGGATCACTGAAACAAATCAAAACATCTTTCTTTATTAAATTTTTCTATCACGTTCTAATATTGTTCCAGCAGTGCTTATTGCTACAAAGAGCTATGTGCTAGGATAAATTCTGACTCCTTTCACAATGGTCCTGTAAAAGCCATGATCAGAGTCTGCACTGTAGAAGTGTATGCACATCTTTAGCTTAGGCTGATCAAAGCACCAAGGTTCGTATCTACTTGCTATGATATACAAATGGAGAAAAAAGAAATATAAGCTATATAAGCAAAAGTCAGTAGTTTCCATGTGCAACTGATTTATTCCAGCTATAGAATGCCACATATACATAATTTGCTGCCTGTGCATGCCATGGGCAATTTAAAGAAGTGCCTTGGGATTAACTGTCTATGAGGTGCCCAGCAAAAAAAGGTAGGATCCTCTAACATGCAGTGGTATCAGGTAAGATCAAACAGGAGTCCTTTCTCCTTCTTACTGAGACAATAAATGCTGGTTAATAGTGAAGTGTAATGCATGTAATTCAAGAAAAGTATCAGAAACATTTTCATCCTTATCATGTGCTGAAACAGGGAAATGCAAACTTTATTCCATATATCATTTTTACATCACTCTTAATTCCTGTTCTACTTACCTTCCTATATGCAATAACCAGACCTCTGGAAAACTTCAGTACTTCCTTCAGACTAAAATA